ATAGCCCTGCAAGGTACAATCCTATTTTCCCATGTGAATGAATCTACATACATTCATAAGGTCTGAAGTACTAGCAATTTTAAGCCTTTAAAAATACTGAATGAGGACAAACAAATGACTCAGTAGGTACATGTACTTGGTGAAAGTCTGATGAATTGAGTTCAATTTCCAAAGTGAAAGGAAACAACCAACTCCTGAAGTTGTCATGATTTCTTCATGTATGCCATGGCATGCACACTTGCACTCACTCACAAAATAATAAGTAACAAAATGCTTTTAAAATATTGAATGAAAATCTGTTTATGATTATATAACAATACATTCATGTCTATATAATCTATATTAATACATTAACAGGAGAGAAACAATGTCTGGTACTAAAAACCTAGCCAATATTGCAGGATTAGTGAAGTCATGAACCATAGAAAAGAATATACTGCCATTTGGCTAAACCAGCATGATTCCTTGATCCATTCTAAATCTTACCCTTATATCCACACATAAGTGGAGGTTCCATGCCTTGACAAAGAATCCCTTCTACAGGAAATGGATGTGATAACAAAAGATTATACCTAGACACAATACAGAGATCAAGAGATCATGGGGAGTCCAGATCCAGTAGACACATCCAACATCACAATTCCTGCATCGATAAGTCTGGAAACATTGCAGAAGAGGGGGCAGAAAGGTTGTAAGGGCCGGAATATCAGGAAGTATGTTTTAAAGCAGTCTCTCATAGTAATGTCAGAATTAACCAGACTGAAAAAAAATGACAGTATGAATTAACCTGTTAACATGGAAGGGAATTTTATAGTCCTCCCCTTACACAAAGAACTGCAGTTAACTCCATCTGCTGGGAGAAGAGGACTTAGCCTCTTTCAAGGATGATGGATCTGATTGGTTGTACTGTGTAGAGTGTACTGTGTAGAGTAGACCTAAAACTCTTATAGACACAATCAACAAAAATTTGTTCAGCTGGTTGTATTTATTTTAATTTGAGAATATACATATATATGTCATGATGATAATAAAGAAAAAGAGGCTATCAACTTGAGAGTTGGGGCACGGGAAGGGTTTGAGGTAGGGTTAGGGTAGCTGGGAGGGGCTGGATGTAGAGAAGGAAAGTAATGTAATTCTGTTTCAATTTGAACATCTTAGAACAGAAAAAGAGGTCATATAATAACTAAATATATATGCATATATATATGCATATATATATATATATATATTATGACATAGTATAAAAGCATGGTAAACATAAGCTCCCTTATTAAAACTTCTCAAACAAATAGAAAGGTAAAAGCTCATGCACTGAGTGCATTTCTCCATCATGACCCATGGCCTATATTATTGGAATTTTTTTCTTTATCACATTAGGCATTACTGGTATAAATCTTGCTCAAGTATAAATCATCCTTACAGACACAATAACAATTTAGACTATAACTTCAATAGTGTTCAGAAGCAACCAAAGTGTCTCAGTTCCAGATTATCTTTATCTTTAGAGCCAGCTACCAGAGTTATGACTAATTCCTGCTACTGCATGACTTCTGTGGCTCAGAGATGTCAAGACCTAGTACCATCAAAAATAAACTCAAACAATTATTTCATGCAGTACTTGGGATTTGAGTGTTTTTTTAATCATATCCTTTCTCCAACTTTCCCTTGTTCAACCTATGTCAAAGAATAAGCATCTTAATATTCACATTTGAATTTCTTAGTCTCCTTTACTTCTTTGGTATCCATGAACACTATTCATTGCAAAAGAACAAAGAGAAAAACAAAGCAAAAAGCAGAAAACAAAACAGTGTGGCATCCTCTGTTTCTACCACAGACTTGGTTGGAAGTATCTTGTATGAAAATCAAATTTGAACCTTTAATCCAAGCATCCCAGAGGTGAAGGTGGACTGATCTCTGGGTTCAAAGCCAGCCTGGTCTACAGAGGGAGTTCCAGGATAGCCAGAGATACAGAGAAACCCTGTCTCAAAAAAAAAAAAAAAAACTATAAAAAGCTGGAGAGTAGTGGCACATGGGCACATGCCTTTGATCCCATCACTCAGGAGGCAGAGGCAGGCATATCTGTGTGAGTTTGAGGCCAGCCTGGTATAGTCTGGTGAAAAGAAGAAGAAGATGAAGAAGAAGAAGAAGAGGAGGAGGAGGAGGAGGAGGAGGAGGAGGAGGAGGGGAGGAGGAGGAAAAAAGACAAATAAAAGATTTATTAGCTTTTTGCATAGTTGAGGCTATAAGCAAGGGAAGGGAGAAGACCTCACAAACAAAACTTACACAGCAGTGATAAGAAAAGTATTTGCCATGAGGAAGAGCCAGTCAGGAAGGAATCTGCATCGATGGTGGTCTTGTAAGACCCTTCAGGACACACAGGTGGAAAAAGCAGATCTCAAATGTCCTCCATTGTTCTGAGTGACAAGGCCTCAAGAACATTGAGAGACTTTCATCCTGAAATATAAAAATAATGACATTATTTTCTTTTTAAAGGATACTGTATTTGTTTCCCAAGGCCTTGCAGCTTACAACTACCTAAACATGTGTTCTCTCAGAGTTCTAAACACAAACACAATAATAAGCATTTGGAAAGGTTATATGATCTTCTGCCAATGGTTGTGAGAAAGATTGGTATTTTTGACTTCTTTTGTCTTCCAGAACCCATTTGCTTTTCCTGATTTGTGGCTACCCAACTCAAATTTCTACATTTATCTTCCTAATGCCAGCAGGGAAGGACTAGACACACAGCCACATGTTGTCACTCAACAGTCTTAGGCATTCCCTTGATCTTTGAGGGACCCTGACTCCAACCAGACAAGGATTTTTAGCTTCAATAGAGAAATAGAAAAAGAATTTCAGGACTATGAAGTGTGACACAGGACAAAAGATTTTATTACAGATAGTTTAAACCTAGGCTTTAAACATGAGGGTTAGGAGGTAGGCACTCAGAGAGGAAGACACAGGTGTCTAAAGAATCTTTCCCTTAAATAGGAGAGATCTCCTGGATAAATTGGGGCAGACAAAGTGTGGGGGATGGGAACATGAGTTATCAGGTTGGGCAGGTTTGGGGTGGTATGGAGGGGGAGAGTAATGAAAGCTGTTTTGATAGTGGGGACCATTTGGGGGTTAGTGAGAAACTTAGTGCAGGAATGAAACTAAGACTTTTTTTTTTAAATCTTTAACTTTTTAATCCTTTCTTACTTGATCATTTCTTTTGGTTACTTTTTCTATAAAATTTAGAAAACTTTTTCAAGTAAGACAACTTTATGCCTTAATGAAACACTAGAAGCCAGATCTATGACACTGCAAAACCACAGTTATATTTGTTACATTTCTTTTCCTTTTTTTTTTTTTTTGGTTATAATTGCTGTATTTGTTGTGATCAGCTTTAAATTAGACTAATGATCCTATGAGTTCTACTATAGCCTTTAGCAATGACTAATGATGAGTTCTACCATAGCCTTTAGCAATCACTAATGCCAGATCTGCTTCTAAAGACATGGCTTTTCTTAGGGACAAAATGGTGAACTTACAGTTTAAAGATGAGAATCTAACTTAATCATTGATGGGCTTCAAGTCTGAAGCACAAGCCAGCAAAAGCAAAACATGAAAGCACCGGGATAATCACGCAGACTTAAAGCAATGTTTATCCGTTTTTAGAGCTAAACTGCAGAGGAGACGGCTTTGCCAATAAATTCCTTTCTCGGTGTCATTTTAGGACGAAGCATTTTATTCTTTTTTATTTATAGCGAAGCTGTATTTCACAGGTTGTTTATGCATGTAAGGGAAAAGAAATAAGTGAACTCTAGACCCCTGGATATGTCACCATCTGTCCATCCAGGACTAATCTAGGATATAGTTGCCTTCTCGGATCAGGCAGCGTATCCACCCAGTCAGGCATCAGCCGGGCAGGGAACAGCTTCCATAATTCAGGGGGTCGCCACTTCCTCTCCCCCCTCAGGATCCAACCATTTTCAAATGTTAAGTCTGGAGAGCCTATGCTAAACTCCTTCTCTCCCCAGTGTAAAGTTTAAAGGCATGGACGCATACAACAGTTTTGTTTCTAGCTTCTTATAAAAACAAGACCCCTGAAATACATGCACATTCACGTATTTTGCCTTTGAAATCGATGCGATCCCTTCCTCGGAGCACCAGGAAGTGAGACAGAGGATGGAGAAGGTCGGCAGAGTTGGGAAAGTGTCCACCAAACTGGAAAGTCGGCTTGAGGAGGGAAGCAGCTCCCTTTGCCTCAGGCTGTCTGTCTTAGGGAGGGTACTGACCTTTAGGACAAGGACTGAGAAACAACACTCCCTTGACTCTTTCAGAGTTGAGAGGGCATGGGAGCAGTCATTCCTTGTGTGTTGTTGTGGATCAAGAATGTATTTTCGGGAGAAACAGCTCTCCTCTTGTGTCCCAGGCTCTTGCCTTTATACCAATGTCCCCACAAGAGAAGTCACACCGTCTTCTATCTGATCCAATGGAAGGTCTTCGTGCATCTAAGGATTTTTATCTTTGATGCCAGTAGCACTTATTGAACATTAAGTGAGTCTCTAGACAGAGAAAAAAAAAAAAAGGAAGGTTGCATGTAAGCCATGCTTCATAGGACCTAAGAGGCAAATGACAGCAAGAAGAACCCACAAATAATGCTTTAGGCAGAGGCACTGTTCTCCCACACTCAGCAACCTAAGGCCTCAGGCTAACTAAACATTCACCGTGTAGACCCAGAAAAGAATTTCTAGGGCTAGCCAGTGTGAAACCGAGTTGGAGATTTTACTAAAGCTAATTTTAATGTATGCTATTTAGGATGAGGAATGGAAGAAAAGGACAGGCTTAGAAAGAACGAGAAACCAAGTGTGGATATGGATTTCCTGAAGGAGAAAAGAATAAGTCCATACATACCCAAGTATGGGTACAGGTTCCTCAAAGGGGAATCAGAATTGTCTCAGCAGGAGTCATTCTGGTTGCTCTCAAGTAACATTTCCTCCCTGCTTTCTCTTCAGATTTGGGAGATAAGTGAAGTGGCCCAGAGATGCCTTGGATGGAATTACAATCTGATAAGGTAAAAACAGGGAGTACTAACTGCACAAGGACACCTCTTTCCCCTATGAATGGCTTTCTGGGGAGATTCCTAAAGCTGGAGGTGTATACCTGGGAGGGCAAAACACCTTAAGTGCTGCCAACTGTGCTTAAATTCCTACTTGCAGATGGAAGACTGTAACCAGGGGATTCCATTTTCTCACAGCAGGGTAATATTCTAATATTCCTTGTTTTTCTGAGCTGCTTTTCGATGTCTACACTGGGTCTGTGTATGTCTCCAGAGTTTCCTCTCATAGAGAGAGACACATTGGATTTTGTTTCTTTTTCTTTCTTCCTTCCTTTATTCTTTGCCTGTTTGTTTTGTTTTTCAAGACAGGATTTCTCTGTGTAAATCTGTTTGGCTTAGAACTCACTCTGTGGACCAGACTGGCCTTGAATTCAGACTTGAGCCTGCTTCTGCCTCCCTAGTGTTGGAATTAAAGTCAAGCACTGCTGCTGCCCCTGGCTGCCTCCTCCACCCCCAGGCCTCACACTGAATTTCAGGTACACTATAATCCAGGATACACAAAGTCTTCTTCATCTGGTTATGGCTTTAAGAACTTCTCCACTGGCATAGAAACCTGGAGTTACAACTTCAACATCTTTTCAGAGATACAAGTCCATTGAAAACAGACATATAAATGCTAATGATGATTCAAATAAACAGATATTTTTATAATTCCATGCGAAAAATGGCAATTTAAGGATAGGAGATTAACAGAAATTCTTTGACAAAGTGAGTTCATTTTGAGATACATCACTTTAAGGAAAACTTGGAAATAAATTAAAAACTTTTAGATATAAAGCTATATAACTTCATATACAATATGACAACATTTTAAAGGTACATTATATGTTTTACTATGTACATTGATATTTAAATGCATCAAAATATGTATTTATCAACTTATAATTTAATAGGTTAAATATAATTTTTTGTATTGTAAATATATCAATATTTAATTTTAATTAATTGATATTAAATGTATTCGTTTCATATTTAAGTGAACACATAGCTTTTGAATTGTTTGAGGATCTCATTAAGTATACACATAATATATTTTGATGAAGACCACCCCCTTGTTATTCCCTCTGAAAGACCCGCTCGACATGCTTCTGCAAGTCCCCTGCCCGCTGCCTCTCTGTCTTCCCCGCCTGGGCCGGGGCTGGGGGTTTTCTCTGCAGGCAAGGGGGTGGGCGGCCGGGGGGTGGGGG